GCTTGGCAAATTTGAGCTGAGCACCGGATGCTTACATAGGGACTACTTCTACTTAATGAGCCCACTTGATATCCAAGGCGTGCAATTTCTCTGCACTCTTGGTTTAACTGAAGGACCGGGAACATTCTGTATTTTGGTAACAGTAAATCACCAACAGACTCTGCATGTAACACTTCAACATTGTAAAAATTGGGACCATTGACATTCATGATGAAAAAACCTCATGTGGTTTTAATGAGAGAATGAGCAAAAGGAAGCTGAACAGTGCTGATGAACAGCCTTGTGCCGTAGGCTGATTTACTGCAATAAATAATTGTGAAGCTGGAGTTGTCCCACCATTGATTCCTGGTCTCAGCTTTTAATGAAACTCAGTAAACCTTGTTCCCTCAGTCTTGCACTGAGGCAGACTGACCTAGCACATTACATGTTATTTCTTCATTATTTTTCAAAACCTGGAACAAGTCTTTGCATTTCTCCCACCTTTTGCCCACAAAAGCAGTATGTCATAGCTAGTGAAGCGGAATCTTTCACAGTCCCAAGTATTGTGACACTGATAAATGTCTCAGACAACAGGTCAGTGATGATGAAAGCAGATGCCCTGATGTCTTTCCTTTGCTAAATTTTCTTTCCTTGTCTTCGTTGCTAATGTTTTCTTTCCTTCTCCTTCCCAGCTTTTCATCCCAACCTGATCTGGTTTCACTTGTGACCTGGGATGTTCCTGGGAGCTTTGCTCCAGGCAGAGACAGCAGACCAGTGTGGTACAGGAAACACTGAACCTCCTTCTTCCTTTCTTGCTTTATCACATCCCTGAGCTGGTGCAAAAACTCACTGGGTCTCCCTGGCAGCTTGCCCCTGATACAGAGCTCTGCTCCAGAATGGGCTGCCCCCAGCCTGCTGCTGGGCAGCTCTCCTAGTGCAAGGAAGAGATGAGTATGGTGGGACTTGGTTTCTGCTCTGCTGCTCAGAACAGGACTCAAGAAGAGCATTAATCAACACGTTATCACCATCCTTGCATGGCTAGGTCTCACACAGGTTCAGAACGGCAGCTCCCAACAACATGGGCCAGAGCATTCGTGCTGGCTAGAACACCTGGACCAGCAGGGTGCAGGAAAGTGGATTCTCCACTAGCACAGTTAGGGCTGAATGAGGACAGTGACTGGATGCCAAGTGGAAAGCTCTGGGCTGCGTGCTTTGGTGTTTGGCCAGCTCAACCCTCTGTGCGGCAGTTTAATACCACCTGCTGAGCTGAACAGTCTGGTCCTGAACCAGTGCCCCAGGAAGTGCATCAAAATCCATCACCTCACTGGCACTGGTTAGCACCGAACAGGATTATGGAGCATTTTGCTGAATCAGGCTAACCACTAACAACAGACTAAAATGATTTGTGAAACAGGACATTTGTACTGTGAAACAGTACATTCTTTAATGTAGTGTCTTGTTAGTCAACATGGTCTTTAAGTATGTTAGGGATTGGACAGCTTGTTGCCAACAGCACAGACTGGCCAGATTTGAGCTACAGCATAGTTTATCATGCTAATGTAAAAAGCTGGTCTGTCTTTCTGTATGAAAAAACAAAACCAAAACTAACCAATCAACCAACCAACAAAAATGCCACACAAACAAAAAAAAAACCCCACTTTGAATGGTTCCTACTGCAGTGCCAAAAATAATACCAAGCAAGAGAGGAAACCTACCCAGGTGAGTCTGGAAACCATTTTCATCTTATTTCTTCAGGAATATACATGTTCCTACAACTAGTCAACATAAAGACATGGAATAGACCCAAAGATACCTACACATAATGGTTTCACCACTACATCGCCTGGAGCAGGGGTGTTAAATTTACAACCTGCTTACACCACTTGTAACAGGCAGCCTCTGCCTCAAAGGAAAGTGTGGCAGGCTGGATGAGTTGCTGTAGAAGTAATAATCCGTTCCCAGCTGTCACCTTTCATGGAGGGCAGGGAGGTGGCGGCCCATCAGCTGCCCTGGTAGCAGTGAGACAACAGAAACCCAGGGGTGTATCCTGCACCTGCGCAAAAAGCGCAGTATTTTGAGACTGTAGAGCTGCAGTGTGTCCAACGGGCAGCTGCTCTGCATGGGAAGCAGGCTGCACACACTGCTTTCATGGCCCCACCACTGCTGCTTGGCCAGAAGGGCTGACCCCCCCTTGTGTCTGCGGACCACCTGCAACCTCAGGCAGTGGAGGAAAAGACAGTCACTGCAGCAGGTCTTCACACTACAGCTGAGGTAGGTAGCCAAGGGTTCCTTTATATTCAGCAAACACACATTTTCAGGACTCAACATCATTATTTTAGGTATCTACTTAAAAAGATGAATCACACCTAGATCCCTTCTTTCTCCATCAGACAGAGCTTTGACCACTTCAGATGCAGACAGCTATAGGTACTCAAACTGGTCCCACCCTGGACATCCTTAACCGTCTGGCTTCAAAACTCAAGCACTCAAAATAAGCCAGTAAACTACTGGGCAAGTAGGAGTTGTCAGGCCAGAGATGACACTTCCCACATAAAGGAGTTCGGGCTTGAATTCACTTGGGATAAAAAGTATAAAAAAGTAAGTGCATGGCTGTGCAGCCTCACTGGTGGTCTGGGATGGTGTGCACTACTGCAGGCAATGTTTGCTGTGATGTTTGGCCTTGCTGTCCTCTTGCCAACCAGGCAATGAAGTTACTCAGGTACTGGTTTGTCAAAATTTTGTCATCACACAGCGCAAGGTTCACATTTAGTGAAAACCTGTGCATCCCTATTCCCCCATTCCCAAAAGCAGTTGTGTTGAAAGAAAGGATTTGTACTGAAGAGCTGCCACTGAAATCTAAAACCTGACCTCATGAATACGCTAAATTGTTCCAATTTCTTGTCCTAACAGTCAACAGTTTTTATTTTTTTTTGTTGTTGTTGTTTTTAATAGGCAAGATAAACCTTTCCACAAAGAGAAAGATAAATGTTAAAAAAAACTGACATAATTTCCATAAAAAACCACTACCAAAACTCCAGTAAAAATCCAAAACTTTAATCTTGGAACAATGATCCTTTTACAAAGAGATTTTTAAAGACTGAGTGTACATACTCACAAAAGCAAGAAACTAAGGCATATTCTCTGTAGCTGTATTTATACATTAAAGACTTTGAAAAGCCATGTGACTTGAACTCATTCAAACCTTGTCAAGATACAGGCAGTAAAAACTTTAAACGTTTGACTCACTTTTACATGTAGTGGACTGTTGGTTTATACAATTATCATGAGTATGAGCTAGATAAATTTTAAATCCCTGAAACAAATACTCAACTAACAGAATAAAGCTTAAACATTATTTTAAAGTGCTCATTAGAATCCCCATGTTTCAATTATAATTAAGAAATGTTAAAGATACTACATTCCTTACATATCAAGTCTGAAAGTACAGTATGTACACAAACTACAGTCTTGTCTTTATAAATAGGAAAGAATTTATCTATATATCAAAGGTGACTAGTAGCAGAAGGGAAGCTGAAAGACACTTTCAATTTGGCCAGAAAGAGGGAAAAAGCCCAGAATGGTCATCTCATACATACAGCTATCAGAATTCTGTATCCCAAGTGCTGCCATTTTGGCCAAACGCGACTACTTCTCTTTACACCCACTCACAAAGCATCTGCCAGTACACTGTCAGTAGAGAATTACAGCATCTCTCTTGTAATGGAGTTGCTTGGGTCTTTACAACTGGCAAGGCTGCTGCTAAGAGGAAACATAGTAAGACCTAAGTCCCTTAACTAAGCAGAATAAACACAGGGTTGAACTAGGTGATTTTTAAGGTCTCTTTCATCCAAACCATTCTATGATTCTATGATAATCATTTAGGTTGGAAAAGACCTTTAAGATCACCGAGTCCAACCATTAGCCTAGCACTGCCAAGTCCCTGGGCAGCCTGTTCCAATGCTTGACAACCCTTCTGGTGAAAAAAATTTTCCTAATACCCAAACTAAACCTCCCCTTGTGCAACTTGAGGCCATTTTCTCTTGTCCTAAATGTATTAGTTCTCAAAGAATTCTTGACTGTCAAACAATAAAAATCTGGATGAACTGTGGTGCTTATTAAAAAATAAGACAAAACTAATTAGGAGGCATCTGTGACAAATTTAGAAGCCTACAACAGCTTTCTTATTACAAAGCCCTAACCAGAGTTCCAGTATGTTTGCTTGTCAAGTCTCCTGTCCTGACAGGAGACAATCAATAATCAAACATCTCCATCTTGCTACCAGTCCTCTGATTTTGACTTTACAGTTTTGCAGCATGTGGTATTACCCTGCACACAGTTTAATCGTGTTTCACACAAGACTAATACCAGGTACCTGTGAGACATTAGTATTGTACATTACTGCACCCCCCCACAGCGCACATACTGTTCATCAATCCTTCTCAAAGTACCACATAACAAGTTTTAAAAAATACAACCAACCCTAAAAGGCAAGACTCAAGACTGGTCATGAAAGTACAATAAAAGATATTTAACTTCTTCTCATTGCTTTTCATCTCTCAGCTTCCATGAAGGGCAACATTTCATTCTTTTCTCAGCCTTTTCACCAATTTTCCAACTGGACTTTGTAATTTTCAGATACAAGAGTATAACCACTCGCATATAGTAACATGATTACAGTAAAATCAAAAGCCACAAAATAACAGTGAACATTCCATAAGTGGAATTTTAACTTCTGGTCAACATTTCTGCTAGACTAAAGGCAAAAATATGCTGTACAAAATCAGCTTAACATCTGCAGCAGTAAGCCTGTTGTTTATTTTAGCCTCAGCTTAGTGTGTGGTCAGCCTGAACTATGCAATGTCTTAAAAGAACAGGTAGACAGGAGATTGTAAAGCTCTATTTTTCCCTACTGTTACCCATTAGCAGATTCTTCCTTTGAAAAACAACATTCATGTGAAAAATTTACTGTGGCGCTCAGAGGAGTTGAAGGCAAACGCATGTGTAAGGACAACAGAAGTTTGTCAAGGTGACAAACGATTCAGTGGACTGCTTTCTTCTCCACCTGCAGCAAGCTTGAGCGTTGTTAGCTTTCGAGGGGGATGCTGAGGACTCTTACGAAGGTTGTTGTCCATCTGCAGAGAAATAATGAGAGCGGGATCTAGCAAACAGTAGAATATAGATTATACAATTAGACTATTCATCAGGGCTGCCATCACTCATGCTGGTTTGCGGTATGTTTTACCCTGTTATTTCAGGCCCTGCCAAAACTGATGCCTTGGTTCCTTTCCACTCCCAAATACTTGCTTGTGTTAGAGCTGCTATTCATTCCATTAGCACATAATGCATCAAACCCAGGGCAAATAGGTATGCTTCTGCTCAAATAATTTTGTCAGTATTACTGGAGAAACCAACACTGCTACCCGCTTCTAAGAGGTCAAAGTTTGAATTCTGTTCAATAGCCAAATGTTGGTAGAAAGCAGATCAAAAGTCAAACTGCTAACATCAATGGATGCTTCTGCAAGAACAAATCTTTTTCAAATTAGAAGTGTTCTGGAGGAGATGGGTGATCTAGATTAGTTACAGACTTCAAGAAGTATTAATAAAGAACATGTGATAAGACCTTTTCAAAGACAGACTACAATTAACCTCTGGATATACAGATTTTACATTTTCATAGGAAATCAATCCAATGCCCTGTGTGTTACATGGTATCAGAAAGAGTCTAGTTACTAGAGAGTAAACAGAACCACAGAAGACAGCACAGGGGAGATCTCCAGAGGTTGTCCAGTCCACCCAGTTTCAAGGTAGGATCAGCTTTACTCAAATCATGCACGACACACATCTGTGTAATTCACTCTTTAAAACTTTCACAGCCACAATTTAACACTACGAAGAGGAGATCAACATCAACACCTAATCCTACAGAAGCTGATCACAGTTAATGACCTATTTCATACAGTGATCTTTTTCAGGAAGAAATTCCTTCTATCCTTCTACTTAAAGTGTTCTGTCTGCATCAGAAGACTAATTCTTTACAAGTATTTTTCACATAGGCTGTATAGCTTTTGAAGGTAAAAGCCTTGGAAACAAAGAATGTAAAGAAATGAAAGCTAGATGCAGAAACAGGAGAAAGAGTGACTGCCGGTCAGTGACTACAGCATTCAGCTGGGAGCACAGAGAGCTATCAGCCTTCACTTGCAGGACCATTTCAAGTTCTGATCAATACATCTGTCACCTCCTCTGCTGGCATGCACACTTGCAGAAAGACACCCTTCTTTTGTTGGTATGCACACTTGCAAGACAACGTTCTTGTGATTGTAATAAGAACACTTTTTAAGTGCAAGGCTTCATTAATTATTTCTTTCAAATAACACAATATTCTTCCTGCCTCTCTATACAAAGTAAGAGACTAGAAAAGAAGCAATTAAAATAATATGTCCATTGTACAGTTGCAGTTGCCATGCAAGAATATCTGTGAACAAGTAACCACAACAAAGCGGGGAAGTTAGAGACTGAAGCAAAGGTAACCTTTTCAATCAAGTTGGATTCCTTATTTACAAGCTGTGTGAGTTTCTGCAGATTAGCATCTGCTGTATCCTGTCCAGCCGGAGAACAGCCTGGAGAGTGAAGGCAGAAAAATGAGGAGTGAAAAGGTATTTACAAATCTTTTAAACCCTTAAAAAATAAACCCACATTGGAGGGAAAGTTCATGCAATATTTTTATCCTAAGAATTTAAGTGAAAAAGCCATTCCATGTGAGAAAAACAGAAGCACTAATCACGAGCCATAGCATAGATACAGTTGTATACTGACAATGCTTGAGAGAGTCTAAAACTGACTATTAACCCTTGCTTTTAATTTTCAATCCTTTCTGCACAAGTTTCTCCACCTTACTTCCCTATAGAAGGTCCAGCAAAAACTACATAAAATCCAATTCTGCCTTGGTTCACAGATGGGAATCTGGATTTGTAATCCAAACAAGACCATCCAAACATGAAAAAAATGAGGAAAAGCAGCACAGCTTACCTGAGACAGTTAACCTGAAGTAGCAAGTTAAAATATCATCACAGAATTGACACAGATTGGAAAGCTGTTTCAAATGCTCTTGTAATCGTAGTCTGGGAAAACAGACTTTATAAATTGGTGCAAGGAAACCAAACACAAAGGCATCCAAGGTGGTAGGCCTGAATAGTGACAAAACAAAGCAAAAAAAACCAGTGACTGAGGTTAAGACATAAAGACTTCTACAATGTAATCATTTTTCTGTGCATGTAAAACACAACTCAGGACAGAACACAGTCAGCTCTTCTGGCATTCTATCTTTCGGTACCCATCTCATGAACACATAGTACAGACTATCCACTGATTTCAGCACCTCTGAAGTAGAGATATGCTGGCAGGCTGAAACAGTAACTTCAACATTAAAACCCAGTCATGCTGTCATGTACACTGACAAGCAAGCAACTCTAAAACACGTTTTTGGCACTACAAAAGCCAAGCTGTATGCCAAGGAACCACGATCCTCTCTGATGAAGTGGTCCGACTTCAGTGGCTAAAGCAACAGCGATCCTTTTTAGGACCTGTTGGCACTACGCTGTTGGCAATATCTGTGTCCTGCTCTGTGCACATACTACAGGAAGAGGAGTGTTCCCAGACCTACACCCTCCTCCCATGAAGGCAGTGGTGACACCTCAGGCGTAAAGCATTTTTCCTACATACAAGCACAGGAGGTGACATTCAGTGGCTAGAAAAGCATTCTCCAGTGCTAAATTAATTAATCAAGCACCCCAGATTCTCTTAGCAGCTGTGGGCACCATCTGCCTCTCTGTGGAAAAACACAAGATAAGGGAGACACTGCACTGCATAGTTCAAAGATCTCGTTTGTGCCCTGTTTGCTCATTCAGATTTATCTGGAAAGCAGAGACATGAAACTACTGTGCAACACTTTTAACATTCTGGCAGGTTTAAAAGAAAAAGGCTAAGTGTTTACAGAGCTATGTGGTACCCGTTTTATTAGTCATTAAAAAATCCAACAAAAAACCCAAACACACTCACGTATCTCCAAAGAAAAACCGAGACATTCCCAATCTCTTCGACAGGAGATTCAGGCACTCCTTGGCATCTCTGTATATCTGATGAAACACGAGACTGTCTAAGAGCCCTAGGTGTATCAAGGCTAGTATGCACAGCATCTTTCAACATTTGACAAGTGCTACACTGTTTCAGTTTTGTCTTTGACAGCACCACAGATTTTTTACTACACAACACATACCTGTGCTTCCACTTCAGTGAGACTGTAGAGTGGAGGCCCTCCCCTGGTCAGCAAGATCCTGTTCAGTGCCTCCCTGGACATCTTTCCGGGCAGATACAAGCTCAGTGGGAAGGCAATCCTTGAGGCAAACCATGGCTTTGTCACACTGCAGTAATTTTCAGCCTCAACCCAGAAAGTATGCAGCTGTATCAACACAAGGAAGAATATGACTGGAATCTGAGTAAGAATAGTAGGCATCTCTTGAAAGCAGAAGCATTAGCAATTATTGTAATTTAAGGCAGTCAGGTTCCACAATGGATTACACTAATCCTTTGAGTGCAGGAGTACATAATTAAGGCAACAGCTACCTTCTGCTTAAAGAAAAACAACAAAGACACCACACAGACCAGTATATATGTGTATAAAATTACATACACACTCATCTTTATGTATGTATGTATCTATATACACACACTCATATAAGTGCATTTTACAGAAGATATTACAAAAAAGCTGCACATGTACAGTACCAGGTTTGAAATTTTCATAATTTTTTTGAAATTCTATATAACTCTTAAAATAAGATATTATGAAATGATGAATTCAAATTCAAAACCTTGTGGGTCAGCTGAAGAAGCTAGCCTCAGATATCATCTGATCTGAGTATTTTTTCCTGTACAAACCAAAGCCAAAGTCATTCAAGAGATCCAATGTCTGGGGATTTTTATAGCTCTAATGCACTTACACTAAATTGGTAAAGGCATGTAGCCATGTGTTATTTAGAACTGAAAAATGAATCTACTGATAGGTATTTTAATTTCTCAGAAGGTCTAAACAGTTTGAAAGGCTTTCACAGCTGTGTACACCACATCAGACACACACATCCTACTCAAAGTTTTTTCAAAAGAATCAAATGAAACAAAAAATGGCTGTTTTTCGGATATTGTTTCCTAAAAAGTACCTAAAAGAAAAAATATTATTAGATGCCCTTTTAAAATGTCTTTCATAAATTCATAATTATTATTTTTACTTCATACCCCATAAACACACACACTTCTTTCCTTTTCAAAAGTTGCTAGGCAGTATTTCCAAATTGGACTAATAAAGCAAGTACATTCCAGCCAGGACTATGGCTAAGAGACTTCTTCTCCCACAGTGGGTATCTCTCCTAACATTCACTTCCAAAAATTCTGACCATTATAAAGTATTTCCCAGTACTTACCAGAGCAGGAAGAAGTTTTTCTTCCAGTAGGGCAATATATGCCAGAGTATCAGCTCCTTGTTTTGCAGACAATTCATAATCAGCATTGTATTTCTATGAATTAAAAAAGATACATACTACAAATAATGTTACACAGAACTTTCCAAAAAGACAATCAAGGCAACCCAAAGTTTCTTCAAACTTAACAGCTATCAAGTCAGTAAATACAACAACATTTTGCAGGACAGAAAGCATACACTTACTAGAACTTCTTTACTTCTTCAGGCTAGCTGTGTCAAACCTCCTTGCATCTCCGTTTTCCAATTTCTCATTCCTATCTTTTTAGGCCCTTCTATTCTCAAAATTACTCTTGTGTCTCCTTCCCACTGCTTTCCAAGCAACTGTCCAGTGATACAGAAGCAATTCTTCAGTACTTAGGACTGTAGCAAACCTCTGGCAAGTCCCCATCTTTATTTTCAAATAAGTATTTGACATTTCAGCTGGTGTAAGCATAAAAAAGGCAAGCATTCCCTTCTTTTGCTTTTAATTACCATTTTAAAAGTTTAGAAATTGGATGCTAATAATATAGGGAATCAATGCACAGCTAAATTAAGGCAGTTACAGCTGACTGTTACAGCTTTAAATTCTTACACTGGATCCTTTTAAGAGGCATTAAAAGGGTTAGTAACTTTTTTGGGGGGGCGAGGAGATTCACTTTTTCTAATTTAGAAACAAAGGGTTGGTGCTGACTCTTATCTTTTTAGGTAGCTGAAAAGCAAGCATATTATTGTTATACCTTAACTCAAAGAAGGTGTCGTCGTCCCACCCCAACATTAAGGTATCTTTGGTACTCAAATGGCTATAACACTTTAAAAGGATTTTAAAACAATTGATCAAAGTCCCATCTCAAATGCACAGTTTTCAGGTTCTGTTTTTCTGCCCCCAAAGATTTAAAGTTTCAGTAACACAGCATTTATGAGATAATCTTCTTGACTAGGCAGTAACTGTGTTTCTAATGTAAAAGCAGAATAGTAGGTGGGAGGACCATCTTAACAAATAAAAAGATGATGCCATACATTATTAGATGTCTTCATACTTTGTGAAAAGAAGAAATGGTGTAGCTCTATTCTTTATGAATAGAATGTTAAGAGATCTGCAAAAGGCAAGCAAGAGTTCACTATGCAAGAGCATGATGTGCATCGAGAAATGCTTGCAGGTTTTTTATGCTACAAGCTACAGAAAAACTACATAGATTCAAAAAAATGCTGTATGTATTATCCTTCAAAACAGAGCAGTGGCAGACAATTACCCATTTAAGCAGTTAAAACCACACTTCCCAAACTGTGATCTCCTAGCTCTGCATACCCATAATGAAATTAAAATTGTTATAATTAAGACCAGGGTGCTCAGTGAGAAACTCCTCAATTAAGGCCAGCTTGTTGTCCTTTCCAATGAACAGTTTTCTTGTGCCTGTTTTAAAATCTTTCACATGACTAATAATCAACCTTTTAAACAGCAATCTGTTATCCACCATTTTTCAATTCCCATGTATGGATGAAAAACAGGAAAGCACAAGGTGCAAACTGTGTTCCAGGTTTTCAGATGCCTGTATTGATGTATAGAGGGGACATGTAGAGTCACTACAAGGCAGAGAAAACAAAATTTTTGAAAGAGACCTACCTGCTTTCTTAAGAAGTTTAGTATTTTTGCTGGCTGAGAAATAACAACGTCTTCTGATATCAGGACTGGTACATCTCCTAGAAGACATAAATAATACAGTCAACAGTTTATATGGATGATTTCTAACATAACTAGAAAGCAAGCAGTTGCTCATCTGCTTTTTTCTTCACAGTATGCTTTGATCTTCCTAACATGTATGCACAAGCTAAACTTTAAATAGCAGAGGAATTCCACCAAGGTCACAAACATATTTGGTGTCTTGTGGCCTTCATTAATAACAACACATGAAAAAGGGTCCATATAAAACCAGACTGAAGCCAATGTCTTCTGCTAGACATTTAACACTTTGAGAACCAGGCTACCTGTCTGGATTTCAGATGTCCATCTTATCCCAACCCAGTCCAACTGCCCTCTCAAGTCATTAATCTCTGGGCCTCTCCTTCCTTCTACTCCAGTTTTTCCCTGCTCTTCCCCTCCAAATCCATTTTAACCACTTGTTTTCTCTATCCTTGCCACAGTGTCCAAGCTACCACTTCATAACCATGAACTACTCCAAGAACCAAGTATTTCCCTTCTGCTAGAAGCGCACTGGTCAGCATTTAGTCATCACACAGCAGGATCGAAGACTGTGGAGTGCAAAATCTCTGTAAGAAAGGCTATCTTATAGCACATTCACAACATAACTGCCACAATGAGCCTAACATGACTGCTGCTAAATACTATTAAAGTGTCAATTCTCAGCAACACTCACTATTTGGATTTTTTTTTAATGTATTTTGGCCATGAAGAAAGGCAGTGAACTTTTGGTGAGTACACCCAGCTAGTTCTTGGTATCTTTTGCTAACAATACACTGAAAAGCAAGAGTCAAAGGTGCAACTTCTCCACAGATATAGCAATGTCTAAACTGATGATGTGGTAAGTGCAAATGACAGAGTACTTCAACCCTGCAAGTGACTTTACGTCTCTGGAATAGAGCACAGTAACCCAGATACAGAGCAAACAGGTAATCAATGAGTATAAGTATCCAACACTAAGAAGCCATCTCTGATACCTTATCTTCAACTTCTCTGACAACTAGGTTGATAGCCAACTTTTGTGAGTCAAACTCTCTAACACAGCACAGTTCTAAACATTCCAGCTGGTGCAAGTTATATTCTTTGGGGCTCACATTCTACTTCCTACTGTACCAGCCCATTAAATTATATATAATTAAAGAACACTATTTCCATAGAGAAGTCTAGTTATTTTCATTACAAATACGCAAAGTGCAAAAAGCTTAAACATTTGCTTTCGCTATACCATCAATTTGGACTGCCTGACTGAAACAGGTTTGTACGTTGCATCACTGCTTTGTTGACTGCCCGCTACTTCACTCATGCACGTTTTAATAAAGCATTCTTTGAGGCACTTGATGTATGTCTTGCATTATTTTACTCCCACAAATTCATCACAGTTGATCCTGTAAAGCAATTTATTGTGAACGCAGGCAGCCTTCACTGGCCCAGGTTACACTCATAAACACAAAACCAAAGGAAACTCAGAAACAATGCAGAGATTGGAACCCACATTTGTAACATGGCTATAGTTAGAAAAATGAAAAATTGCAAAGATGGTACCTTTCGGAGCTCTCCAGGAGTTATTTATAGTATTCACTGTCAGGGGGGCGCCAGAAAATTTGGCGTAAGCCTGCAGTAAAGATTGTGGGGAAAAAAAATCCAGTCACTATGTGTAAGAAAAGTGTAAGATTGCACTTTGAAACTTTTTTCGAACAGCTTCGGGCACTGGAGACCGGCTAAAAGCAAATACACTT